AACATTATTAGCTTTTATCGCGAGCGACACGTCACTCAAAGCATATTAGCGTTACTGCACTCCTGTGTTTGCCGTCGCGTAAAAATCAAGATAAATACACACGAATTATGCAATGTTATGAAAAAGAAGGTATTCGCCACACCGAAAAATTATCAAAACACCAACCTGCTTTCATACTAATAGCGTAAAAAGCTCTCGCATTTCGTCAAGGTAAAATACACGGCACCAGAGCGACCATAAGGTGACTGAGATCGGCATCGATCGCAATAACGATAAACTGCAAGATCGGTAAAAAAAAAAAGATTTAAAAAAAATTGTGTCGAGCTTGGAAAGACACTCTGTCGGAGCAACCAAAAAAATGCAAAGCGCAAATGACAGTCCCAACAGAAATTGACAGGTTCAAGCGCGGAGGTGCTCTCGCCTTGCCGATCGGCCGGCGAATGCTGGCCCTCTCTCCCTCTCTCTCTCTTCCACGGCGAGGCGAGCAGGCCCCACTTCTCGGGCCCCCCCTCCCCAACAACTTCCTCCCGACCACCTGTCGGGGCGAGAGCGATCCGCGTGTGCAGTGTGCACCTCGACCAACCGAGATCGGTCAGCCCGTGGCGGAAGGGGGGGTCCGCCCTCGCAACTCTGGGCCTCCCTCTCTCCTCCACCACCTCCCAGCAGCACGTTTCACGCGGCAGTGCCGCATTAAACATCACTAGCGGCGTGCGCCCGTAAGTAAGTATGAGTAAGTGAGTAAGTACTACAAACTACTCAAGGCGCGCGCCCGGCGAGAAGGAAAAAAAAAAAAAAAAAAAAAAAAAAAGGAGAGCGTGTCGCGCGCGACGGCGGGTCCTGTCCTTCTCCTCCGTCGCTCTTGGTCGTCCACCACCACCACCACCACCTCCTCCTCCTATCGGTATCTCTCGGGGCTCACGAACCGGTGGCCGATCGGCTTGTAACAACAAACGCGCGCTCGGGGGAGATCTGCTGCAGAGGCGCTCTCGAGAGCGCTGGTGTAGCCGCCGCCGTCGTTGGAGCCGCCGTCGCTGGTGCTGCTGCTACTGCTGGTATATGGCTATATATACCGCCACTGCTGCTAGCTGCCAGCTGATGAATCACTATATAAGACAGGCAAGGACAAGAAGGTGTATGTTAGTGCACACTAAATCCTCCGGTAGCTCGGACACGCGCCACTTCTACCATACACCAACTGTGTGGCTGTACAGTATAATCATATATATCGCATACGTACCAAGACCGGCAGTGCACGTTATACCGCAACGCTACCGCGTTATACACCATTTTTGCGAGCGTTGTGTCGGGGCCGAACGCAAAAATCGTACCGATGCAAATACCGATTTATCGCGCCGCGAGCAATTTTACTTAGCTTTTTTTCTTTTCTTTTCTTTTCGGGTAACGCAAAGAAAAAGAAAATCGGAGCAAGCTCGCCGAAGGAGGGTAAAATAAAAATACAATAAAAGAAAACGCAACAAGAGCAAGGAGCAAAAAAAAAAAAAAAAAAAANGTCACTTACCGATGATACATTTTAAAAAAATCATTATAAATAAATCATCTTATTTTTCTGTGGTAGAGGGTAAAAACCAGATGTATCAGAATTGCGGGGCGACGAATGTATACTCTGAAAGCTAGAACCATTCTTCGGATACTTCTAGTCTACAAACTACACTTTTTACCATCTTCTCCTATTTTATTTTATTTTATTTTATTTTCCTTTTTTTGTTCTTGTTTTACGTAAATCCGAAAAAGTGTGTTGTAATCGGAGCCGAATGCCGCCGCATTGTGTTCACCTGCCGATTGTTCAGTCGTAGATTGTATACTTTTTTTTGTACAAAGCAAAGATAACGATCATGTTAATAATAATGATAATGATGATAACGATAATGAAAAAATAAAAAAATAAAAAATTTGACATTTTCCAATAATAATTTGCATTTATATTTTACACCTCACCATTATCCAATTGGTACAAAAATGATTGTGCAGTTAAAAATAATTTTATGGCAATAAACTTGCAAACAAAAAGAAGATAATGTCACTAGAGTCGTATTTTTAGGAGAGAAATTTTTATCAGCGAATCGTGGCCTGGCAACGTAAGACGCGTCTACTGTGCAAAAGTTACATAAAAAGCGACGAAAGTCAAGGTCTCTCCGCTGAACCTTTTCTATACACTGCTATCGGCCGAGCTGTTGCACAACAAAACAACTTTTATCGATTACCTGATTATCAATTTTTCCCGCTTGAGGATACATTTATTACACGGTCCGATAAAATCTTTCGGAGCAAAGGAAGATCCACCGAGACGTTTTCGGCTGCAACTCGCAGCTCGTCCTCGTTCTCCTCCGCAAATTTAAGTACCGCCTCGGGGAAGAGAGCGAGAGCCTCGAGCGGCTTTCTCTTCCGTTTCGGTGGTGCAGGCGGCCCTGGGACCACTGCTGAATTAAACCCGTACATGCATACACTTATGTGTTACGCGCTTTTCGACGGCCATCAAAGATACATCACGCTCGTACAAGTGAGGTCTTCTCGATACCCGGCATAATCTCTGTGCTCGAGCTGTTCTGGTACAACCGTTGGATATACTCACTATATATTCTCTTGTCACTGTATATATATATATA